AAGATCTTTTTATGTACATTTCATCTGCTGCTTCAAATTCTGACATAGTAGCCTCTGATGTGCCTTAGCACACCCCAACTCTCCATTGTTCTGCAGTGGACATTCATATTGCTGCTGTCCACATAACCACACATAATTGTCTCTATGAACCTGTGGGAGAATTTCTCTAGAACAGGTGACGATTAATAAAACTGTTTCATAAAAAGTGTATGAACTTAATTTTACCGATAATTGACAGATTGTTTCTTAGGGTGCAGCATTTATTTTCCAATAGTGATGTGCAGTAATGCATGCACATATTCCCCCAAAACACTTTAAATGACCTTGTATTCTGACATTTGCCAGGGGCTTTGTGGCTCTGTAGAGGTTTGCTCTGGTGCTGATGGCTACCTGTCCAGTCTTTTCTAACTTCTGAAACTCTCTCTATGGGCCAGTTGCTGTGCGATTTTTGAGAGACATTTTCTAATATTCAGTCTGAAATCTGCTTTTGCTTTTTGATCGGATTGCTAATTTTCTTTATCCCTTGTGCATAAACTGTGTGTGTTCAGTGTGGGTTCCTAAAGACTGAAGGAATACAATCATGCTATTATATTAGACGTTGTGCCTTGAGCTTATAATAATCTCTTTCATTTTTGACAACCCCAGAAGAATGGATGCATAAAATAATACATTTCCTTTTGGGCTGGGGTTGTGACTCAGAGATACAGTGCTCACCTAACATGTGTGGGGCCCTGGGTTTGATTCTTAGCACCACATAAAGAGAAATAAAGAAAGGTATTGTGTCCATCTACAACTGAGAAAAAATATTTAAAAATACTTATTCTCCATAAAAAGAATATTTAAAATATTTTTGATTTTAGGATGTTTTTATAAGGTTAGTTTTATATAATTTTTTCTTTGAGAAAATATACAGGTAAAAGAAAACATGTCTTTCAAAATTTCATCTAGATGCTTTATAGGTTTTCTTTTGTGTAAGCCTTTCCATCAAGAAATACATTGTTTAAATAGAGACATTTGTACATTTTCTATATAGGTTAACTCATTACCACAGGGATCCAGAGACCAGAGGCAGACATTCTGCCTACCAGGACCTCCTCTCCCTGGTTGGTATTAAACTGGATCTCAGTGACACCACTCAGAGATGATAGTGTCTGAGAGAAGCTGTGCTGGTCAGGGACAGCCTTGTGGCTATCTTAGACACTGAAGACTCCAGGCCCTTCCTTAGGTAGATGCAGGATACAGATATTGTGCAAAGAGACACATTTCCCACCTAAGGAGCTCCTACCATCCCATACTTTCTTTCCTATACTTGGATAGATATATTTGTTTAAGGCTAAAATTTGGGGCTTCTTTGCATCGCCCTCTCTGGATACCTTCCATACCTCTGTCCACCAAAGGAGACCATCTCTAAGGCTCCGATGTCCAGTCCACAGCAGAGCTCAGAATCAGAGCTCTGTCTCCTATGGCTTGCAGCACTCCTCCATCCTCTCCTCTCTTCATTCTGTCTCCTGTTGATCAAGAGAACCAAATATTCATGAGAGCCTGTACAACAACATCAATTGCCTATTAGAAAGTAAACAAGGAGACTTTGGTAAGTGATACATCTTACATTTTTCTGGAACAGAAGTAAAAACAAAATCTACTAATCTGAACACTCAGTACTCCTAG